GTATACGAATACAACGCACCCCGTGCGCTCTATTCGAAAAATATCGCACGTGCGTTTTGTTCGGGGGAAGACTGTGGCTCCTCAAAAACTCGTTTGTCCCCGTGGCAGCACCAGTGTGGACCAAAAAGAAAAACAAACCATGCCGAGGGAGGTCAGTACAAAATAAAGAGGCAGGAAGAGAGAGAAAACAGAGCATGCTGTGTAGAACACGTGGAGAAGCAATGAGAGAAAGAGAGCCCCCTCCTTTACGTACCTTAACTTCTGTCTGGTCATAGAGCAGAGGCAGCAGTGAAGGAAGTAAATCAGCAATCAAACTCGGTTTGTTGTGTGCAGCAGTGCTCAGTGCCGACACCGCTGCCCTTCGTACATGCTGTTTTTTTTAACATAGCAAAGACAGAAACAGAGACAGAAGTAAGGATGGGAAAAGGAAAACGCAAAGGAAAAGGAAAAGGAAACACTTGGATTGCTCGTGTGTCAGCAATCACCACTTGTAAAAATTCCAACTGCTGTGCGCATAGAAGGCATTTCTTTACGTTCGGCTGGTGCTAAAAACCAACCCCGAAAAAGTGCTATTGGTATCACAGGTAAGCAAACAGAGATGGATCGTTTTAAGAACTGGCCAGATGGGCAGACGTAGGGAGCATGATTTAGTACTTACCCTGTCCTCATCTTTGATCAAATTCAGGAAGGCATCAATGCACGGCTTGATGTGTTCGTCAATTGGCTGAGGTCGTTCAACGGAAGTGAATTTGATGGCAGTGACAACAGTGGCCTTCGTAAAAGCAGAAGGGCTAGCTGTCCGTTCCTGTGACAAATACAAAAAAAAGACACGTTGAGAATTTCCGCAGCTTGCCGATGATAAAGGAGCAGACCAAATTTTGTCGTAGGCAAGAAACAAAAACCTTGACAATTACCGCCTCCCCCCTCCCCCCCCCCCCCCCAAAAAAAAAAAAAAAAAAAAAAAAAACCTTGACCATTACCCTGCAAAAAACCGCTCTCAGGTTATCTCACAAAACTTTCCGCTCATGTTTGGATTTTATAGAGTCCCATAGCCGTGCCAGACAGGCTCCATACCAGGGACTTAATAATCTGGCCGCAGCTGCTGTCCAGGATAAATGTTAAAACTCCAGTTCAACAAAACTCCTAAAGTACCGGTTTTCCACTACCGTCTTCATCCGAATGGAGCGCCCGGTAATTATAGCAGTATCTGGACTGAAAGGTGCACTAAATACGGCTTGCATGACCGGGCGTTTCATTTGGGTGAACGGTAAGCATGAAAAACAGTGCCCTCCCTTCCAGTCCTCCAAAAAGAGATACCACCACTACCTCTGAGCCTGCCGAGGTGAAAAAAACAACTCCACGCCAAGCTTTGCCAATGCGCCAGAATGGAGATTTTTTCTGTCGTTTGGCTAGTGCCACCGGCCATTGTGGTCCGACAGCACTGTTTCCCAGACATTTTCCGAAGACATAGCAGTCCACCTGGATTCAATTCTCTACGTTGCCTGGAAAAGGTAATAGTGATTTAAACCACCAGTACATTTCCCACACATTTTCCAAAGACACAAGCTTTGCATGCGACAAATTCTTCCGGGACCATCCCACAGGGGCAAAATGGCGGGTGGCGCCTGCCAAAAGAAGGCCAGTGCCGGTCCGTTCTTTTTTGGCGCGAATGGTGTTTCATTCAGGTGCTTGAAAAAGAGGGCTAGGGCAGATGGGAGGCAAAGTGAACCGTTTGAGAAGTGGTTGAGAGACGGCAGATGGGAGGCAGAGTGAACCTTTTGAGAAGTGGTTGAGAGACGAGAGATGGTTAATGGACGGAGAAAAATTTGCCGCTTTTGCCACATCACCACGAGTGACATATTGGAAATCTTTGGAAACCGACAACACGCAGCAAAGGAAAAGGAACAAAAACACTAAAAGAGTAGAAAAAACAGTATAAAACAGTCGCACAAAAACACTTTCCGAGTTGAAGTAACTTTAAATAAGCATTCACTGCCGATCAAAGATTTCGACGAAATTCTAACTTCTCTGTTAGTTCAAAATATGTGAAAACCAAATACGTACGCGACATAACCTGAAGTACATATACACCACACTAACAAAAAACAGGAAAAAGAACCAAAACACTTAACCAGTATGATAGTTTCAGTCAAAAATTTGCCGAAAATAAGACCCCCTGTTAGCCATCCCCCCTCCAGCATATAACATATGAAGTTATAATGAACACAAACCAGAAGAACCTTCGACAGTGTTGGGAAACGAGGGAAAAGTGGCAGTTTAACCTAACCCCTAAAATTCGGAGGCAGGGATCGCCGACGGCTGCCATTGATAAATCTGATAGGCGGTCGTCGTTTTGTTTCAGCCTCGGAAAAGGTCGGAGGCCCACTCGAGGCCCGCTATTTTCCCACGCGGCAAAGGTACTAGTGGTTTAAATATCGGCATTTCATTGCAGAGTGGGGCCTCCCCATGTTGGCCGTGTTCATTTACATAGATGTGAGGAGGAAAACCATTTTTCTCAATCATGCGTCATGGAACGTATGGCAGACATCGTTAGCCATCTTAGCTGTCGAACTCTCCCTTGAGATTGCAGAAGAGAAGAACAGTGTGTGCAGAAGTCCCCTTGAGTTGATTGCATGATGATGCTGCGTCGCCCTTGACATTACAAGAGAGCTGTTTCCTGGCAGGGTGTGCCTGAGCAGCCTATCCTTCACCCTCCTGGATGGATCTTCCTCCCTTTTCTCTCTTGATATTCTCTTGCCTATTTCCTGTCCAAGGCATAAGGCCTGTCGAACTATGGCAATGACCTGCTGGCATCCAAAACCCCATTTCCAATCCATTGCGCCCAACTTCTCCCAGAGAAGTAGTGAGTGGAGTGGCCACAGCTTCTTGCTGTTTTTTTTTTTTTTTTCCCCACTACGTCCAAGGGCTGGCCCAACTTTTGAAGACCTAGCTCTGGTGCAATGCCAACTTCTGTCCGGTACAATAACAGTGCCGGCGGAACGGCATTTGAAAGCTCCCGAGTCATCCTCCCCTTTTGTCTCTTGATATTCTTTGCCTATTTAACCTGTCCAAGGCATCCAAAACCCCTTTCCCAACCCAGTTTGCCCAACTCCTCCCACAGTAGTGAGTGGAGTGGCCACAGCTTCTGTTTTTTTGTGTTTTTTTTTCGCACTACCTCCAAGGGTTGGCCCAACTTTTCAAGACCTGGTGCTGGTGTAACACCAACTGCTGTCCTGTGATGATAAGCGTGCGGGCGGATCGGCGTTTGCAAGTTTACCTTGTGTAAGCTGAGACTTGTTGCATGGCGCCTTCCATTGGAGTGTCGGCTACTGTATGAAGAAATGGGAGGTGTCAATACAAAAGAAAAGCAGGGGTGATAAACATTCTATATCCTCCTGAAGACCTACTTTACTCCAGAGAATTTGTCTTCCTCAGAAACCTTAATACCGTGAGGTGCCAGCAAGATTTGGTAAGACCAGATACCAGCATCCTAAGGAAAAGCATAGTCGCTTCAAATCCTGTTTAGGTAGGAAAACAAGGGGGGAGAGGATGGAAAGGGAAGGGAGGGGGGAGGGGAGGGGAGGGGGGGGCGAGGTGTGTGTCCAGGGGAGGGATAGACGGAACAGGCACCAACTTTTTTGTACCTTCAAGGCAGGTACAATCTTCGATGGCAAAATGAGGGCCAACTTCCCTAAACATTCGGCAACGACATTCCGCACACCTTCCTCCTCGCTCTCGCAGTGTGCGAATAATAATCTCAGCACTTTGTCGACCTCTGCCTGCGCCAGCTCGATGTTCCCTAAGCTATCCAGTGATTGTGCAATCACCTGGATTGATCAAGCACGGCTTGGACACAAGCAGCACACATTATGCCTTCGGAAGTTGCAATACGGGCGAGCAAAAGTGGATATCGATATCTCCCTTATCAGAGCCATATGTTATGATGTTATTTGAACTTATTTCCAATATGTTTTTTTTTTTTTCACTTTCTACTTTTGGGCGGGGATGGGGGCCGGCCAAAGGGAGAATTGGGGAGGAGCTCTTTTCACTTGCGGTTGTGTTTTTCCTTAATGCCCAGGGTCTGTCTGCGGAGTGGGTTGGATGTTTGAAACTTTGCAAACGCACGTTGGAAAACAAATGATAAAAAAAAAAAAAATACTGAAGACAAACATGAAGAGCACACTGAAAATTATTCTTCCTTTTCACTTCCCTTTCATCGTGCCTCTCACGTACAAGGATCGCCACGTTGACGAAGTTCTGTGCGAACTGTCCGCATCCCCGTGTAATGGACATAGTTTTCCGATGCGGAAGGTGCCTGCAGTCAGGAACGGAGGGACAGTACTCTACACACATGGATCCGGAAACCATGTCATTGCAGTGATTGTGACAGAGACAATGGCGGCTCCAGCCGAGTGTAACAGTGTTTGTAGTTGTGCAAAGGAGAAGGTCGCAGAGTGTTGGTACATTGTCCTGCTGCAGCACCGGGCCAGAGGAATGATCTTCAACACATGTTTTGTGAGGAAAAGCAGTTCACAGTTCAAACTTTAACCGACCGAAGACACACGAAGGGTGAATTTTGCATGTCGAAACGTTTTCGCCCTCAGGTTTTCGGGCATTGTTTCACCTTTTTTGTTTTAGTGCGGAGTCTTTCGTCCGCTAATTATGAATTTCTACTGGACATTCATCTCTCTCTTTACTTATTTTTTTTTGCTGTTTCAAATTCGTGCTCGGGCGGCCTGGGCTGATAACCCAGGTTTCCAACACTCTGGGCTTCTGCCACAACATTCTGGGCTTCTGTTACAGGAGTATTTTAAACCATTAATACCTCCGAGGCTGTTTTTGCTGATCCTGAATTTCACTGCGCTCTGAGACTTGCGTAGCCTGGGTCCCACTCTACTTTCTTTTCTTGTGCTCGCACGGAAAGGACCGAAAAAAAAGAAGAAGAAGAAAAGTCACGGCCGTGAAAGTCACAAAAGAAGGGGAGGGGGAAAGGAAGCAAAGCTTTGGCCCTGAAATACAGTTGTATACATTCTTGGAAGTGGTAGTGTGAGTGTGCCCTAAGCGAGGGCGTCTCAGGCCCGTGGCCAGGTTGTCAGAGTCGAGAAAGACAAAGAAGAGGAAAAAAGAAGGAAACACAGATTCGCCCGTGATATGGGCTGGATGCCAGTGTGATCACGTTACAATCCTCAGGGAAACACAGCTTGAGCCGATCACCGATTCCGCCCTGCCTCACTGGCAGGGGGCTCGTCAGATTAAAAAACGAAAACAACAACATCCACAATCCGACCGTTATTGCTGTAAGATTCATTCTGTGGAGGACTACTGTGAGCACGGCCTCCTAGACTACGCTGCCTGACATCATTGCAGTAGAGATAGTATCTTCTTTTTTCTTTTTCCCTTTCACGAGCGGGCAATATAAAACTACACTTTATTCTTCTTGCTGAGCCTATGGGACCTCCAAACTTTTCCCGGAAAATATTTTCTCAACACTGGCGGAGGTACTAGTGGTTTAACAGTGAAGAATAGCAGGAGGGGGGGGGGGGGTGAGGATTTACCCAACTCAGCCAACTGTCAACTGTTCAAGGGCCTCGGTGTGGCATTTTTTAAATCTTATTATTTCAATTTATTTGTTCTGAAAATAATAACATGCTAACAAAAGAATGACTCTGAATGAGGAAATGCCAAAGAATTCTTTGATCTGCAATTCCACAGAACATTATTTTCTTGAAAACGTTTTGGATTTCTTTTTTCATTTTTCAATTTTTTCTCGAATTTGTGCTCGGGCGGCCTGGCCTGGTAACCCAGGTCCGCGACGTTCTGGGCTTCTGTTACAGAAGCAGGTATGAAACACTGAAGAAGGGGGCGAGAAGGAGGGGG